CCCGCGCCTCTCGCGCTGCCCCGTTCCTGACCCCCCCGTCCCCCGCACTCACCGCTCCCCGCAGCAGGGCGTGCAGAGATGCTCTCGCTGTGCGGGACTGCCGAAATCCTCGGTCAGAAGCGCCCCGGCTTGCATAGATTCGCTGTTCCGCGCACGGAGATGTGGAGGTGCCTACTGCCCGGGCAGGTGGAAGGGTAACTGCAGCGTTGAGATATCTGGTCAAAAGCGAAATAAAAGCATTTTTATTCACAAGGCAGAAAAGCTGCAATACAGCAACAGCTACGGTATTTATTTAGCTCTGTATTCAGCAAACTTTTTAAAAACTCGCATCACCCAGCTGAATGAGGCGCCCCGGTCCGTACAGTCCGCCAGCAGGGTGTACCCGGGGTTTTGCCGGTCCCCTGGGTGTAGCCTACAGGCGATGCCGGCGCAGCGCACAGCCGCAGGGCTCAGTCCGCTCAGCCTCATTCCCAGGGGCACGGCCGCAGGAAGGTAGCGGGGCCTCTGGAGCAGCCTCTCCGTGTGCCGCGTGCTCGCGGGGCCGCTGCGTGTGCGGGCGCTGGGCGGGATGCTCCCTGGGGTCCCTGCTGACCCCAGCCGTGCTGGGATCCGGGAATCCTTTGCTTGCTCCGTGGTTACAGGACTGACTCTTGGGCACTTCTCATTTTGAGTCTTAGGAATGCTGCCTTACTTTCTCTTAACTAAATTTGCATTAAGGCTTCAGGTGGCGTTAAGATCAGCGACATTAACTTCCATCTGTCCTCCTTTTCATCCAGGGGACTCTGAACAAGAGTCTCTTCTTTAGTCAAAAGCAATGCTCCTGGCTTTGGTTATCGCTCAGCATCATAGTGAAGGTAAATGGAGTATCAAGGATAACTCCAGCCGTTTGCAGCTGTTCTTGAAATTCAAAGCATGTCTTGAGAACCCCCCTTGATATTTACTAATTCAGGCTGTCTCTTTACGAAGGGCTTTGCTCTTAGTCCTTCAGCACTTTTGAGACTACTAATGGATACACCCAGCTTGTGGCAAAAGATTTCTTTGATCACTAAACAAGGAGCCAGGAGTTTAAATTCTACCTCTGTTTATTTCATTTCCTGAGTCAATTCAATTGTAAGACAATTATTTTTTGGTCTACCAGCAGACATGAATACATGGCCCAGGTTTGAGTAAATAGAGCTCTTTTACGGCCCGCAGCTCTTCCCTTTCCTTCTCCTTCAAACGGCGTAGAGTAATTGTTTCCCCACGTCAGGAGTGCTGCTGTTGTGCTTTACTCAGCACGCTCTTTCTGGCTTAAAATATCCCCTGTCTGCTCCTAACATCTTGAAGAGTGTAGCAAAACACAAGTCTTTATGGTCTCTCCAGCTCGAGTCACCTCAAGAGCCTACAGCTAAGTGTAAGTCATTCCTGGCTCTCACTTGCAGACTCCTGGAGAAAGTCAGGATGTGCAAGTTCCTGGAAGCTGTTAAGGCAGCAGAAGATCCGGCAAGAAAGAGAAGACGTTATTTCCTCTAGCAAGGTGATTCTGTGTTCAGGCACAACTGAAATACGTAATGGAAATGTATCTGCAGTAAACAACAGCAATTTCTTTTGCTCATAAGAGAGCAATTAAAAAAAGAAAAAAAAAAAAGTAGTGGTGGGCTCCATAAATGCCACCCTGAACAAAAATAATAAAAACACCAACATCAATGGCAGCAAGAGTCAAATAGCAAATGGGCTGTTGTTCAATATGAGATACACTGCTGGGTCACAGCCTCCAAAAGCAATCCTGAACATTTTTCTTTTGCAGACCTAAATGTGTATCTCATAGGACGTGACAGGCCTGGAATGATGGAATCTTAGGGCTCCACGGGGGGGCAGGGGCCCCCAGAGGCACGTGCAGTTACAGCAGGCCCTGCAGGGCCGTGTTGCCCTTTAAGTATCTCACACTTGGGGATTCCCTAACCCACTCTGGGCAGCTTGTTTCAGTAATCGACATAATAAAACAAATTTTCCTTGCACGGAGTCAAAGCATCCCATGTACCAGCTTGTGTCAAGTGTCTCTTGTCCTCGCAGCTACTCCTGGTACTCG